TTTTGTCAGTTGGGACAAAAATAGTTGTCTTTCCATATTTCATATTTTTAAGAGGGTCGAAACATATCATCGAAACCGTTGTCGATTAGTGCAAAACTTCTCCCATAATTCCTACTAATATTCTCCAAGGTACAGAACTCAGCAATTGTGGTTTCTTCCCTCACAAGATTGAGAATATTATCAAGGTGCTTCCCATCACCTCCCACCTGCTTAAGTCCTCAGACTTCAGAGGACAGTTTGAGGGTATGTTTTAGGGATGGAGTAGTGGACAGCTCGGACACACTTTTTTTTTTTTTTTTTAATCACATCATCCATCAATTCACTGGCAGAGTTTAACATATAAAATAAAACTACTCGCTAACTTTGATGGAATGTCTCCTCTCTGTGAAATCCTTTACACTTTCACTTTGATTGCTTTGTATTCAAGAAGGGGATTTAGGGGTTTTATACAGTATCATTCTCTGGAGTATGCAACTTGGTTCTGCATACTTGTGGCCAATCTGTGTTTTTCTTTCTTCAATAAGCAAACTGAGACTTGGAATTCAATTAAATGACTTGTTCGCCTCTATCCATTCAACGTATCCCGGGCGAAAGAATATGTTTAGCATACTGCTCCTCTCTCCTGTGTTCTCCTAAAGTGTCATTAAAAATAATACTGAAGTCACAGGGTGGTGTTAGATGTATTATTTTTGTGCTGAGTATGCATTTTAGAAAACATATAATTAAAATTCATATATTTCCTTGTGTAAAAAACTATTTCACATAATCAGGGTATTGACTTTTTAAAAATCTATCTATAAGATAAATATTTTTTACCATAAAACATGCTGCAAACAAACATTGCAGATGGTGATAAAGATTTTATTTAAATTTGACCTCCAAAAAAAAATAATTTCACATTATCATCAATCTGTATTTGTAATGAAAGTCCTGATCACTTAAATCTATTCCTCCCTATAGTTTTTTAGCTTACAAAATCACCAGAACAAATATTAACGTGTGAATAAAATGATAAAATATTGAATGCACGCATAGTTTACATACCACTTTCATATATACTATCTGACTTGACAAAATTACTGTCTCATCATTAACAGAAAGTTCAACATCTTTTATGGTTTTTTCTGATACCTATTGCACCTGCCTTTATCTATGTCTTGCCTGTCTTTTATAGCCTTGAAACAATCAGAAACCAAAATGCCGAACCTGAATATTCCCAAAATATGAATGTCATATCCTAAATACATTCACAAAAATAATCCTGGGACCCAAATTAACTGACTGTGAGAAAGGAGATTAGAATAAGTGCCAATTATCCTTCAGGGGCTTTCTACCAAACAGGTACAAGCCACATGGAGCAGGTGAAAATGAAGTGGAAGCTGAAGATGTGATTCCATTTTCAACCTAAAATACACTCATCCTCCAGGCCACATGTGGCTCCTTGAACTATTCTTAGACCGACACAAAGTGTCAGGTAAACAGTGACAATTTAACTGAATGAAAAAAGTAAGAACAGAAAGAGAGCTAAAATATCACCAAAATACAAGGAAAGAAATATTGGAGATTTGAAAATTAGCTGTTAGAATCTCTCCCTAGAGATGAGCCTTGTTTGAGGCTAAAACAAATAGTTTTAAATGATCATCAGTAGACAAACTAGTTATTCAAAACAATGCATACAGCCAGTATAATAGTATACAAATTACTAGAGCATTGACTTTGATGCAAAGGGTTTTTATATTTGTCAAGTAATTTGGAGAAGTAGGCAATATTTAGCCTTTAAGAATATTGTGTAATAAAACTGAAATAAGCGTAAAGCATTAAAAAACTTATATGAATTTTAAAAATCATGGTGGATACAATTAAATTTCATCTTTAGTTTATTCGATCTGCCTAAGTTGATTCAACTCTAAAAAGGAACCCAAGATAAGATAACTTTTAGTTGCCTTCATCATGAAATTTTAGGTCAGACACAACCTGCAAAGTCACAGCTTGCTTATTTATAATTTTATTCCCTCTTAATAATGATTGGTTGGGACGTGTGATAATCTTTCTCATATTATTACACGCCCAGGGAAGTTTTACCTGTTACATTTTTTCATACGTAGATATGACTGCATATTGTGGCCAATACAAGTAACCATAGCATCTTAATGCTGCTAAATTATGTGAACTGAACATAAATTCTCTGAACATCCCAGTGAGGCATTCAGGAGGACAAGCCACATGACAACATCATTTTAAAAATGGAAAAGTTAAGATTCAGAAATAATAAAGTTTAATCTAACTGACCTAAAGATGCCGGCTAATTTATGGGGAGAAATAAAATTAAGACAATCAAAATAGTTTTTTGGTTTACGCAAATAAAACAACCAGGCACTTACCTGATATTTTGTTTTCTACTAAACATAACATTTTAAGCCAATAGTTTTCAATCCTTTTTGACCTCAACCCACAGTAAGAAATACGTTTTATATCACAGCCCGCACACACAAGCATTTATAATTTAAAACAATTTTTCAGGAAACAAAAGCCACCCTACTAAATATTATGTGCTCTGATATTTTCTGTTATATTCTTTTCTATTTCATTCTTTTTTAAAAATGTTCTAGACTCACTGATCTGATTTCATATCCTCTGGGCCATAAAAAAGCAGTTTGAAAACACTACTTTTGGCCCCCAAAACTTTTAATAACTACTAAAGAAAACTAAGATTTTCTAAAAGAGTCTAATCAATTTTTTCCTTTTCTTTTTCTTTTTTTTTTTTTTATCCAGAGTTATTCAAACAAGAAAGCTGAAAGGGACAAAAATATATACTAAATAACATTTAATAATAATATTAAGTAAACATTTGCAGAGATCCTTCACTTCCTCCCTGGGTAATAAGAGGCAGAATTCAAACAAAAGAAGAAGGCTGTTACAGGAAATAACCCACAAAGAAAAAATCATTATAAAGCTGAATTTCCACAAAGAAATGTGTGAATTTTTTACTTTCTAAAAAAGTTCCGTGTTATTTTTGTATCATTCTAAAAGTACTTGAATATCATCTAATGCAAAAAGTTTAAGACGGGGCACATTACAGTGGTATTATTTGCCACTGGGATGATGAACGATTTTGAATAAAATGTGGTCCCCTTTTCTTTGACCATGTTCACTTTGTAATTATTAGCAAGGCAGTAAATAATCCACCGAGGAGCAGTCTCATTAGTGCCCATTGAAATTCAGTGGCATTAATTTGCAATAAAAGAACTGAAAATTAATGGGGAAAAAAATAGTTTCTGAGTCCATCATAAGGTTATGGAATTCACACTGTACCAGCGCCATCCTTCACATCAAGGAGTTTAAGATGCATGTGAATTAGATGTAATCGCTATATTTTGTTCGAACGTTTTTTTAAAGTGAGATTTAAAAAAATTCTTTTTCTATTTTTATTTTAACCCTGAATTTAAAACAAGTGAAATGAATTTGAAATACGCTTTTTAAAGTTTTGTTCTTTTTAAAGTTTTTATAGTTTTGTTCGTTGTCCTTTAAGTAATATCTCCTCTTGGACCTGTTTGGCCGTGGGATGCTCTAACCTCCTTTGAGTGGGCTGAAGGATATCGAACAAGTTCAGATCTGCCTTTCAGTATCCTGTGGGGTCAACCTGCACTTTCCTCTTGTTTCTTCTGCTATAAATCTCTGGAAATAAAACACAAAATAGAAAAAACGGTCCACAGCTTGCAATACAGATGGGTCTGAGTGAGGGCGGAGGCTCCTCTGATATCGGTGAACAGTCAGGCAGTGCCTAACTCCGCACTGAGCCACGTGCGCTCCCTGAGGCCTCCCAAATCCACTCCAGGGCATCCCTCTCCAGTGTGTGCCTAGAGCACAGGTATTCGCCAGAAACACCTGCTTAAGCCCTCCCCAAGTCCATCAAGAGGAAAAGAGAGAAACTATCCAAGGGAAAATGAGAGGGAGGAGGGAGGAAGAAAGTATAATCTCTACTAACGGAAAAAATAAGGACACAAAACATTTGCCACTTAAGTCACAAAAGCGTTCCAGTGTGTCCTGAACTGTCGACGCTTCTTCCACAGCAACTGAAAGGCGCAGAGAAACTGAACCCCGTCCCTAGCCCCATACGACCCCTGGGGCATTTTCTGCCTAGTGGGCCAGAAATATTTAGCTGCCAGGAGGGTGTTTCAAAACCCTCGTGCTTCGATATGGCATGTTTTAAACTCACAGGACACCTATAAATTGTCAGCTGTCGTAAGTCATATGCCAGCAACCTGCTCCAACACGGACCCAGCCAGGTCTCAGAAATCAGAAACTTAAGACACATCAACTCCCTGAGGAGTGCAGTTCAATAAAGCTCTGAACCTGGGCTGGGCAGGAGGAAGGTGTGAGCTCAGAATCGCTTCCCAAAAACTCATCATCATCATCATCATCCATAGCATGCATTTTTCGAATCTGCAATTCTAGATGGAAGGAGATTTTGAGTACATTAAAACAAAAATTTTAAATAATAATAATAACAACAACAGTAATAATAATTAGAACTGCGCTCCTCAACCGCAAACACCTCAGCCTTAAATACCGAGGTGGGACATTTACTAGGGACTCAAAGTGTCTTGTGTTTATTTGTTTTAGGGTGCCCCCCCCACACGCACACAAATAAATGCTGTTTTGTAAGGTTTGCCAACACTTGTTTAGTTAGGAAGCACACGAGGTTTCAGATCGGCCTCTCAGGCAGACAGTCAGAGGGTAGAGAATAAAAAAAAAAAATTTTTTTAAGCTACCGAGCTAGAGAATTTGACTCTCCAGCGCAAGATCCACAAATAACCCCTGGGCCCGGCTGCGTGCTGGCCCTCAGGTCTCCTGTCCAGAGGCTCCCGCCATCGGCTGCGAGCGCCAGACTCACAGCCTGCGGCCCCCCTTTCCTCCCCTCTCCGCCCCCCACTCGCTCGCTCTTGCCCGCCAGGCGCGCGGCAGCCACCGGGACGTGGCGCAGCGGGCAGCGCAGGTACCTGTAGAAGGCGGGAGGGCCAGCCTCGCGCACCGCATAGCCGTTCGGCTCGTTCTCCAGGTAATAGGGCACCTGCTGGCCATGGGGGTGCAGGAAGGGCGAGAGCTGCGGTGGCTGGTGCAGCAGCACCAGCGAGCTCGGCGACACACTGTTGAGCGGCGGGAAGCCCCCCAGGCCATTAGCGCTGAACGCCGCTTCGGACCCTGGGCCGTAGGCGAGGCCGGACTGGCCGTAAACGGGCGCGGAGGCGACGGCCGCGGCATTGAAGTCATACGCGGCGCCCTCTGGGTAGTCGTAGACAGCGGGCTTGCTGCTGTCCACGTACACCTCGCCCAGGGGCCTCTCCAGGGGGATCTTGAGTGGCGGGTGGGTCAGCGGCTCCAGCTCATTCCCTTGGATCTGGTGCAGCAGAGCCATCCCGGACGCTTTGGTGTGAGGAGTCATGTTCATGGTCAGCGGACTCGAGCAAAGTGCAAACCGTCTTCCCGCATGGCAGATGGCTCAGCAGCCCATCGGCCACCTGAAAGAAGAACACAGCCCGCGGTTAGAGGCGGCGCAGCACACGTGCAGCCGCGACTCGAGCAGTGGCCCTGTCGCGGGTGCCGGCGCGTCGGTCGCCTGGAGCCGGTCGGCCGGACTCGAGCAAGTGCAGTCCGGCGCGAGCGCGCTCCACCAACTTCCCCGACTCCGGCTCTCCAACTTTTAAGTACGGGTCTCCAGGACTCATGTGCACTACGAAGGTGCTGGAAGCCGGCCAAAGACTGTTACCTTGCGCTGGCATTGGCTTAAACATCACTCCAGGCGCAACCCGTTTTGGAGCGATCCCAGAGAGCAGCTTCCCTGAACTTTACTTTACTTGCCGCTGCTGCATGGAGGCTGAATTTCACTGCAGGAGGGGGTGAGGGCGCAGAGGGAACTCCTAAAGGTGGCCCAGGGACGACGCGGTTTAAAATGAACTCGGAAGACTGATCCAGGGGCGAGTTTTCTACCGTGCTGCCTTATGTAGCCGGTGCCAGGCTCCAGACTATCTCTGTTTGTGTCTCTCACTGCTTGATGCACTCTTCTCGTTGGCTGGACCATGTAGTGTGTACATAGAATGACCCTGGGGAGGACCACTCTGTAACTGAGATATGTGGATAGGATGGGGTGTGCGCTTGCATATGCAGCTAAGTACAGACAACTCTATTTAGCCGCTGCAGCGACAGACCGCTGGGCGGCATCTGGGGGGCGGGGCGGAGATTCAAGGTGCTCACATAGGAAGAGCTGTACTTTGCAATTCGGGGAATGTTGCCGGACCTGAGTTTCCTTTTGCAAAACTCTTCCAAAGTGGTCTTTTCCTGTCACGATCTTCTGCGATGCTCCCAGCCCGACTTGTATGTTTGGGTTGGACCACAGCACTGTATTTGCTTCCATTAAGGAATTCTCATGTGAATGATGATTCATAAAAACCTCTGGGTAGGCGCACATAGGTGTTCATGCCTTCCACAGGTTATGCAACTAAAACTTTAGAAAACTGAATGTGAAATGTGACCTTTTCATACAAAAGTAACCTCGGGTCATTAACCACATCTTTGGCAATTATGTTACACTGTTGGTCTAACCAACAAATTTTAAAAATGCAATGATACATTTCTGTTCTTTAATTCTACAATTGGACCTTCTCCGCTCACATGGGGTAGGATATGCAGAATCAAATATCCAGATGAAAAACAGAAAAAAGTTTTGAACTGAATTCAAAGCTAAGCACACACACCGTATATAATGTATGTGTATATGTATGTGTATGTACCAAAGATATGGTAGTATATTGTGTGTTGTGTACCCATAATCTTGGATAGTTTATACTTTTTAATAAACTTCCTTTGCCCAGCCTAATAGACTCTGATATGAAAATCTGATACAACCATTAATACTTTGCTTTAATTACTATCCCAAACACGCAACAGAGTACCTAACAAAATGTTTGTGGCATACATAAATAAATGCCAACATTGCTGTTACTAATGGTAACATTTTTGGATATTTTTATCCTAATAAATGAACATTTTACCTAATTGTTATGAGACAGACCATTTGGGGACAACATGCAGATGTAGCTGATTTTATATGAAGCCAAAACTGAACTTATCATCAATAACTATAGATTGTAAGCAAAAAAAGGGTTAAAACCACATTAGGTGAATCACGGATATATCTCTTTATGGCCAGCAACCATTACTTTCCAAAGCAATTTTTTTGCAGATGATTTCGTTTCCGTAAATCACACTTTCAATTTTCAAATGTCTTTTTTTTAAACACATGCAAAAGCACTTCATCGAGCTCTTAAAAATCTGAACCTGCTAAATTACGTATAAATTACACAAAGAATGCTACAAGTCCTGAAAGCAAAAGGAGATACACACAAAAACCCATGAAAACAGCAAATCTTCATCTCCTTTCTAGGATACAGACGCCGGCCAGAAAGGTAAGTTGCTTTCTCAAAATGCTAAAGCTACAAAGAGAGAAATCAAAACAATCCTACCCTGCTGGATCAAGAGCATCTTTCCAGAAAGGTTCCATGGGCTCGTGGAAGTCAAGAGCTGAAACAGTGAGAATGAAGGGAGGGACGTGCTTGCATGTGCGTGTGGCTCCGTGTGTGAGCGAGGCTGAGCATGTGTGGATGTGTTTGTGTGTGGAATGGCAGGGATTCGGGAAGCAGCCAGTAGGCAGGGCACTTGGCAGCCCCTCCCGGCAGACACGGCAGCTGGGCTGCTGCACAGAGCTGGATGAATGGCAGTGGGGAGTGAGGAGAAGCTTGCTGTCTGCTCTTGGAGAACAGGGTAGCACAGTCAGAATCAGCATTCTTGGGGGAAAGCAAAACTCCAGTCCCCTTTGCTCCTTATCCTTGGAACCCAGAAAGTGACCCATGCTTTCTGCTGCCATCCTAAGCAAGAGAGAAAACAGGCTTGCTTTAAATCATAGGCTTATGGCTAAAATAGAATGCCAATCAAAAGTGTATGGATATCAAGTTTTAAAAATGTGACATACGCGGTTTTTCCTGAAGAATATAATTTAACAATAAAAGTCTTTTGGGATACACTTGGACCAAACGCCTTGCTGGCCCCAGCCCCGCGTCTCTGAACAGACACACTATTGCCATGCCTCCGATTGCACCAGGAAACCAGACTTTGGAATAAATGTTTTGGCATTCTAGGGATGTGTTTCCAGCTGAAATGTAATACTCCTCCACCTCGTTAACCAAACCCACAAACCTTTCCACAAATAGCTCAGTTGACTGTTTACTGTAAACATATGAAAAATATGTATATATATATATATATACATATTATTAAAAGCTGGGGTTTGAAGATAAGACAAAAGTGGCTACCTTTGTCTTAAACTGATTTTAGGCTTTCTGATTGTACTGCCATTGATCATGGGGAGGGGGCCCCTTGTTTCCCGGTGATGCCCACCTGCATCTACCTGGTCCTCAACTTTTCTCTTGACTTTGGTACTGACACCCAACAATAAGGCGTCCCCGGTGTGCCCTCACCCAGGGTCCCAGGACACATGACTCCAGGCAGAGGCTTTGTTGCCAGACATTAGTCATTGCCTTGGGTATTAAATGACTAATCACAATGCCAGGAGTGGCCGGTCTCTGGCCCCAGGACCCTATGCAGTTACTGAGAGATTTATGAGTGGCTCTTGAGACCAGTACAAAGAAAAGTAAAACGTTAAATTTAAAAAGTTACAAAAATGTTAATGATGTCATATTGCAAACATATATTTTATGCTGTGAAAGACCCAAGATATTTATTGCAATAGTGGAGCACAGAAGATCTCCCTCCACGATCAGCAATAATGACAAATGTTGGGGGGGAGGGGGAAGACAATTACTCTTTGTAGGTGACAGTGGGAATCTTAACTTCTCCTTTAGGTCAGTAACAGCCGCCCATGCACTAGACCAGTCCAAAATAATAATGTGCAAGGAAGGGAGGAGGTACTCACCTGTGAGTACCATCTTCTCATGACCCTTCATCCAGATCATACTTCCCCAGAGGAGGGAAGGGGAAGGAAGAAGGAAGGGAAAGGAAGGAAAGCAAAGGGGGAGGAAAGAGAGAAGAAAAAGAAGGAAGAAAGAAAGAATCTCCAAATATTCTCCTTGAACATTAAAAGGATCAGAAGCCTGGCTGGCTATCTCTTTATAGACTTTTGAGTATTTTGAGACTAATAATCAAAGTTAATCCAATAAATGCAGCTTTCTTGAACATTTTCTCTCCATCAGTCTCCTTCCTCTTCTTCGTAAGATTTGTCCCCCGGGCTTGGTGACGGTGGGTGGGAAAGGATACTGTACCTGGCCAATTCCCTTCTCATGCTTCTGGCATCAATTTCAGAGTCCGGCTCCCAGCTCTCTCCTCTCCCAACTCTACACGGTCATGCTGGACACGCCCACTCCCTGCGTCACTTGACGGTACTCACAGGTGAAGAAAGGTCAAGCCTACTTCTCTAGCTCCACCACCGACTGTATCTCCCAGACCCACTGGGCGTTGCTGGCTTATTCAAAATATGATTCATCATTCTCCACTCCCACCCCCAAACATGGTGTCCCCTCAGCAAACCCGGCCTGTGAACAGGATCACAGTCCCTCCCATCGCCCAGATTGAAGTGTCTGAGCCTTCTTGGAGGGCCGTCTTTCCCTCACTTTCCCCATTTGGAGCAGTCGAGCTTTGCCATCTCTCCCTTCCCGTCCCCCCCCCACCCCCATCCTCTCTCATCGCCCTCCCTCAGGGTCTCATTACCTTCCCTGTTGTAGAGCCTCCTAGGGATCTCTGCCTCTTCCCTTCCCTTGTTTTTCCTAGATCCTGCTGCCTTTTATTTCCTTGGGTTTTACTCCTTCGGGATCCATCTTCTCATGACCCTTCACCCAGAGCTTGAGCTTCACCCAGGAGCTCAAGCCCTCCTCTTTACACAGCTATATCCTGTCTAGTGTATCTGCTCCATGTGTAGCTTATGCTTCAACCAAGTGAAAATTTGAGACACCAAGCACTCAAAGCTTTCCTGGTGACATTCTCTCTGTCCATGTCCCCCACTTTCCTGGCTTGTTGGGGGAAAGCATACCGTTTTTTAAGGTCCCGTCCAAATGCCACCCACATCTATAATGCCTCCCTTATTCAAAAGGAATTTCCTCCCCTCTGAACGCCAGTGGAATTTCTCATGCATTTATCACATTCTTCCCTGAATCTGAGTTATTATTTATCATTCCCTCATCCTGCTCAGAGCTCCTTAAGGGTGTGCATAGAATTATTTGGGGATTCTAACCCTGTGCCTGGTCATATTAGGTCATCGAAGATCTGGTAATTTATTAATCCAGCTACTTATAAGGATAAAATAACATTACCTCTCTCTGGATAACCATCTCCCAAAGCTAACTTGGTAATATTCTACCATTTCCAAAGTTGTTTATGCTAAAAGATTATCTTTGCATCCTCGTAGTGACTGAGGCCATGAAGTTAAAATTTAGATTCGCACAATCTCAAGGATTAAGCCTGCACTTCTTGGCAGCATGACTCACGAGAGACCTCTGAATTTTTAGTTTATAACCAGATAATGCTATGATCAAACATAGTGTCTTCTGTAGCTCCATTAAAAGCTTTTTACATTTATGAAAACATTATTTCTCCAACAGAAACATGAAAGAAAATATATGTGGAACTATTTCCAAAATAGCTTACACTACTAGAAATGGTTCCTTCACTCTGAGACGTGAAGGTCTAGCTATGTCCGAACTGACCATTATTTTTATTATAAATGCTCTGTTTGGGGAACTTGTTTTTGCACATTCGTTTGACACCATTCATTTTCCTCTAAAGTGTAAGAAACATGAAGAATTTCCTTTAAAGTTGCTGCTCATTTTAAAAATAGTTCAGCCTATTTCTTTTAAGAACTTTTGATTAGCTCGTAGACTTTTTTCAACTGACCTTTGATTTTTGTTTTATGAGATAAAATTCATATGAAATGAAACACGCATATTTCATATACACAGTTTGATGAGTTTGGCTAGATGGATATGCCCATGTAACCACCGTCTCAGTGAAATCACAGAGTAAGCACTTGAAAAAAGTTCCCTTCATGTCCATTCTAGCCGACTCCTCACCCCTATGGCAAACACTGTTCTCATTTCTATCACCTTGGGTGTATTTTGCCTCCTGGCCCAGAGTAGAGACCATGACGTCTTACAAACTGGAGCACACAGACCACGTCTCCAACCGATGGCACAGCCAGCCAGGTACTGGGCTCACAGCTCTGCCGGGCATCAAGGTGCAGAGCTACCCTTCTCTCAGCCAGACCCTTCTCCTTGCGGTCGGCTCCCCTAAGGCCGTAGAATTACACGGACACTCCATTCACAGATCTTTTTAATTATAGTAGGTTTTATATGATCAAATGTTGCATAAGCCTGCAAAGATACAAGTTAATGAGAAACAAGCGAAACCAGATTTTTTAACAGCCTTTTCTTCTCACGACCACTCCAAAAAAAAAAAATTTTTTTTTAATGCCTTATAAGCCAAGAATCAAACCCGTGATCCCTATTTTCATAAAACCTGGGACCTCCATACCATTTCCTGGCTTCCTCTCCAGGACGTGGTGGAGATAGTTTGAATTTTGGGTTGTCAAGCAGATGGCTACTCTTCCTCGTGAAACAAAAAGTGATTCGGATTTAATTTACCAGCTTAATAGGATTGAGTCACTTTCATCTCACACTGTCTTGGAAAACATTTTAAAAAATATTTTAGAATCTTTTTATCTAACTTACCTAGACTGTATGTGGCAGAAGACAATTCAGAAAGAATTTCTGCTATAAATGCTATGTGATAAAAGAATTCCAATTATTCCAATTATTATTATTACACCGTGTCCCTCTTCCTCCCTTTATCTATTGTTTACTTGAGGAGTCTCATTGCCAGCTTCGGGTATTATTTCTCTGCGGAGAGCAACATACAGATTGTGTCTAAATTCACTTTGATTCCGATAGGCCTATCTACTGTTCAGGAGGGCCTTTACACACACACGCACACACGCACATGCACATGCACCCCTAGTAATCAACCAAGAACTTTGCCTAATTTCAGAACCAACCCTGGTCAAATGGTAAAGAGAGGAAAGAGAGTTAGAGAGAGTTAGAGAGAGAGAGAGAGAGAGAGACTTGTACATTATGAGTTTTTTCAGGCCTTTCTTCTTATTTCCTTACCACACTCATCTGGATAACTGGTTCCCTCCCGCTCTCCCCGAGCACCTGGGCCCCCCCATGCTAGCCAGGGCTCCTCCCTTCTCCCAACCTCCTCAATCACAATCATTACAATTACAATGACTGTCTCAAGGAAGTGATATATTTATGAGTATGCCAAGGAATGACTCCTTTATTCAATTCACTCAAAAAATATTGATTACCTACTGTTTACCAGGACTATTTCTAAGTGTTTGGGCCCTGTCTTGATTAGCTCAGGCTGCCATAACAAAATACCATAGACTGGGTGGCTTAAATGACAGAAATTTATTTTCTCAGACATCGGGAGGCTGGAAGTCCAAGATCAGGGTGCCAGCATGGTCAAGTTCAATTGAGGACTCACTTCCTGGCTTTCAGACGGCTGCCTTCTCCCTGTGTCCTCACATGGTGGAGAGAGCTCTCTTTTCTTATAAAGCCACAGTCTTATTAGATTAGGGCTCACCCTTATGACCTCATTTAACCTTAATTACTTTCTAAAGACCCTATCTCCAGATGC